AAAAAAAAAAAATTTGGAAAAAAGAATGTTACCCTCGACCATCGACATGGAACCCTCGACCGTCGACCCTCGACAAAAAGATAGACTCCGGTTTGGTCAGAAGTGTAGAAGTGAGGGCCAAAGGGTCCAAATACAGAAGGCCAAACACCAAGATTTGTTTGCTGGAACAATTAGGTTCTGGAGAAATTCCGTGAACTGAAAGGCCTTGAAACAGAATCGATCGACTATGAACTTGCCCTTAACATGTGCGTTCATGGGGGGCGGAATGTTGTGATCTTTTTTACCGAATGTTGTTACTTGTTGAACAATTTCTTATTTGAGTGTTGGGAAGCCTGTGCCTCCCATAAGGCGTAGCGGTCTTAAAACGAACACGAGGAGAATGAGTCGCCATGTTCGATGTTGTTTTTATTAACTCTAATGCGGATTTGCAAAAGCTCCTACATAATGTAAGTTCTCTAGTTGGAAGCAACGGAAGTTTAGGGTCTGAAATTCCCGTTGTTACTTAGCGAATTGTGCAAAGGTTTAGAAGAGTAGGTTGGATCTGACCTGATCTCGATTGTTGGAGTTTTTAAAGAATAAATGACATCAATTGTGGATTTGCGACTACAGCCCCTCAAAAAGGGCCTTTGAAAAATATTGCTGGTTTTCAGTGTCACGCCATTCATAATAGATCAAAATAAAAATCAAAACTGTTCAATAGATAAAGTCCAGAATCTAGGAAATGAAAGGAGGTACATATACAAAGACCGTCGCCAAGATTCAGGTCAGAGGAATATTTTGTATACGAGATATCCGAAGAAATGTTTTATCCAAACTTATAGAGATTTGTATGGAGACGCCATGCTGGTGCTCACCTGGATGAGCTCCAACATGGCGGACGGAAACTAACAGAAACATCTGTTACTGAGTTTTGCTACAAAAGCGTGAGTTTATTCTTCGAGAAACTCATAAACATTAAAGTAATACTTTTTCTAATGCATGAACAGTTTAGATAGCAAAATTTCCTGAAATAAGTCACTTTTTTGACCTACATGACAGTCAGACTACGAGTAGTCCCCCATTTTTCCTCAGGGATAGTAGAGCGAGCGAAACACGAGCACGTGTGAAAATCACCCCACGCGAGAAAAGGCGACACGCGTGGGGTGAGTTTCAAGCGCGCTCACGTTTCGCTCGTTCTACTATCCCTGAGGAAAAATGGGGGACTACTCGTAGTCTAACATGACAGCTCACTTGGCGATCATGTAAATGCCGCGTCACGCAAAAGGTTAGAAATTCGAGCGTACTCTATCACAAATCAAGAACCCTTTTGAAGGGAAAATTTGTATAAATATTGGTTTTCAGTTGCTCTAATGCATCGTGAAAGTAAAATCTCGGTAGGATCAATAGTTTTTTAATCTGAATTTTAGTGACGTCATGTGAAAACCAACAATAAGCCCCCGGGCTTATTTTCGGAATTTTACGGTATTACATAATTACGAAAGTCTTCCAAAAGGGTACAATGTTCAAATGAGTTTATGTTTAACTCTCACATGAGATTCTATGTCACGCCCCTCTAAGAGAGATGTCACGCAAAAGTCGGCGACAAGGTTTCAGGGCAGCCCGATCAAGTCGCCTTTAAGGGATTGAGAAGGAGTGCCGCAACACAAACATATGTAACTGCCAAAAAGCTTAATATACCTCAACTGATGCCCACATTGCAGAGCGCGTATAGGAAACAACTCTCAATTTGATCTTTTTTAAGCCAAAGCTTTTATTGTTAGTAAGGGTCTTCGCGATGGTCCAGTGGTGGTTAGTGTGAGGATATATTTTAGAGAAAAGTGTGGGATAGGTAACTGAAAAAATGCTCTATAATCATACTCGCGCTTATGATAAGAAACTGAGCGGCTCTAATAAAGGCTCGATACGAACATCTTGAAAACTCCCGAACAGAATTTAAGCGCGCGGAATAAATAAGTATGGTGGAACAGACTACAGCGACACTCGATCGCGCGCAAGAAATGAAGATCGAAATTTGCTTCTTTTCGCGTGCAGGATGATACCTTATACGCATTAAAAGTTTGAAGAGAACTGAAGAGGTGTTGACCCTGACCCCTTAATAGACGATAAGTAGCAAACAAGGCAAATGCAGTGTTATTACTTTTAAGTGGCTTTATTTACTATTTCTTCCATGCTTGTTCGTTGTTTATCTATTTGCACCATTTAAAATGGGTATCTAAAATTATGTATCATAAAAGAAAACTTCGTTTAGAATTCATGTTCAGTGTTTTATCAAAGTACAACGTCGATACAACGCTAAAGTCAAATATTTTTGTCAGTTGGCAACTTACTGTAGGATTTCGACATTATGGCAAGTTGCCCTTCTGAACACTTATCTTCACATCAATGAAATTTTGTTTAAGAATTGTTACATTAATCAGTAAGGCTTTTTCGCCTTGTTTTCACCAACCAGCGCCATTTTTTAATTGCCATACCTGTGTAAAAAAGGAAAAGCAAAAAGGCGAAGAAAGAGAGATTTGGGATCGAATTCCTATAAAACGGCTCTGTCAACGCTTTTTAGCTTTCGTGTCTTAACCTGTCCGACAAAATTTGTTACGATGTCTAATATTTTCAGTTGCGCTTTGCTCTGTTCTTTTTCTGCTCGAAAATCAATAGCGTTATCCTAAATCAACCGATTGAAGTTTTTACTAGATCATATTTATCTAATCACTATCAATGCCTTATAATTAGTATACGTAATCTTAGCCACTTGAGTTTAAAGGCTGTTTATTAGCCTCAAGTACTGGATCAAGTACTGGATCATATACTGGATCATATCATATTTATCTAATCACCACTAATGCCTTAGTATAATCTTAGCCACTTTAGTTTAAAGGCTGTTTATTAGCCTTAATAACAACGCCTCACACAAACTCGCCCACAAAAGCCGCCCCAGCACCTTGTATAGCAAGCGTAAAAACACCAGGCTCGTTTTGTTCCTGTAAAATAAAGCAAAAAATTTTGTTAGACTGTCATTATGGATTATGATGCTGATAGTAAAACAGGTTTTAAAAATCATTTCTGATCGGCGCGCAAACAGTAAATTAGTTGACCACAAATTTTAAAAAAATTATATCTCCACTGTTATTTACCCTAGCTTAAAACGCTATACCTTATTTGAAAGGGCGTACAATAACCTTTCGAGAAAAGAATGTATTTTGCCCTCTGGAAGCCCAAAATAATTCTCTTAAAAAATATTTACAAGGTATAATATTCTTACAATTTAGGCAATAGCATTCAAATATAAAATTGTGCAATAATATTGTTTGGATTGAGCTAAAAGCTTAAAAGAAAAATGTTTCTCTAGTTATCCAGCGAGACAGACCACCAATCAGCTAAAAGATATTGAACGATGCAGAATTCAGTTTAGTTTTTTTCTTGTTGTTTTTGTTGTTTGCTTGTTTGTTTGTTTTTCTGATGCTACCCAATTATGCAAATGAGGCTAAGACCCTTTTTGCATACTTCGCTGTCACCTCGTGCTGAGAGTTTACTCACAGAAAGTGTCTGTTATCTTCAAGTCAAGCTAAAAACATCTAATTTGGCGGTAGTCGGAAGTAACGCAACTTTTTTTAGAATTTTTCTCACTTATAGGGCCACACGGTTCTCTAAAGTATAACGAGCGAGTAAACTTCTACAAACGACTGAGGCGTGGTTATTATCGGCACTAAGCTAGAGCGTAATTTAGTTGTTTTGTCTTTGTGTTTGCTGTTGTTGTTTCTACCGCTGCTACTGACTGTTGTCAGATAGGCTTATCTACTCTTAAAATATATCGATATATAATTTTTTACTTGAAGCAACATCTGTTTTACTTACGCTGGGCCGGGAGGCTATTCTGCTTGATACGATAAATGGGCAACTTAGCACACATGGCGGCCATTTCATCACTCAGGAACGAGCGGTCATTGACAGTACCAACAACAGAATATTCAGTCTCCCCTTGTGTCTCTGCCCGGCTGCTACCCTGATTCCATTGCTGAAGGGAAAATAGCAAATATGCTTACGACTGATTAAGTTGGGAAAATACTGTGACCGCAAATAAATAAATTCATTATATGGGACTATGAGTTCATTCTGCATAAGGAACCCTTTTCTTCATTGGCAAGTCTCCATCTTTGTCTGTTCCTACGGGGTGATTTCCATTGCCGTGTAATTTCTATGTGGTTTCCCTCGTATATTTTACGTGTGTAAATAAAATAGAGACCAAAGAGAAATTAATTTAACAGCACATTTGTACCGTCGTGACCAACTGAAGTTTTCCCTTAACTTGACGTTTTCGATTTCTGTTAATCATATCTGCGCAAAAATAATTACTTTCATGTCAAGTTTATCCTTAAGAATTACTGAATTAAGTAGTTTTGATCTGTCTATTTCCAAATTAGAAATGTGAACTTAAATCTGACTTTTCCAATTTGCCGTAAAAGTGCGGGTCTAAATCTTACTATGAATAGTCGCCAATTACATAGAAGTTGGTTCTCGCTCACCATTTAAAATTATTATTTGTGAAAAATTTTACAAAACAGAATCAAATGCTAAAGAAAGGTGAAATACTACACAATTTAGCCCTCACACAATTGAAAACTAATCAGTTTCCACACCAGTTGAACATGCATGGTCAGGCTTAATATTGCGGCCAGAATCAATGCCATCAAAATGTAATAGCTCTTCCCAATATTACTAGATGTAGATGATAGCTAAAAAATATAGTATATAGTGCAGTTTAACTATATGTCACTGACTTTAGAAAATAAATTTAAAAACTGGTAGTATTGATCATTCAAATACTCGGCTTAACTTGAAGCCTAGATGTAGTAAACAATCTTTTCTTGAAAATGTAATTACCGTTTCAAGTAATCTCTTGAGGTCAGCAGGCTTTGGTAGATTGTCAGTGGAGTCACTTAGAAAACAAGCTTTCTGATTGGACATTCGGTGCATGGCCATGTTCTATGCAAAAAGACAAAAATGACAAAAGTTGCGTACATATGTACTTGAAAAATAGTTTTTAAAAAGATAACTTAGTGTAAGGGGTGTATGGCTTACACAAGACTAATGGGCAAAATCAGAGAGATAGAGAGAAAGATAGAGAGAGAGAGAGCAGTTAAAGTTGCCGTCATTCTGTAAAGAAGAAAGGGAAGGAAAAATCGAAGGAAAGAAAAAGGAAGGAAGGAAGGAAGGAAATGGGAAAGAAAATGTAAAAGAAACGAAAATAAGGCTGTTTTTAACATAAGCCATGCCAAATTTCAATTTCCTCACCTGTTTGAAATCATAAACAACATCGACCTCTCCTGGGGCATCGGGACTGGTGTCGCCATTACTGGGGATGTGGAAAGTTTCTGTTCCCTTTTTGGTGTCGATTTTAATAGTTTCGTCTAGATCTTTAGCTCCATCCTTGACTTTAACTTTGTACTCTGAAACCTTATCGTTCAAGGTAAAAAAGAAATAATATTAAAATAAATACATCATCATCATCATCATCATCATCATCA